TATGTATTAGATCATATCCCCCCTGGATCATGTATTATACATGGGAGATCATATCCCCCCCCCTTATGTATTATACATGGAGATCATATCCCCCCTTATGTATTATACATGGAGATTATACATAGATCATATCCCCTCTTATGTATTATACAGGGAGATCATATCCTCCCATATCCCCCCTTATGTATTATACATATCCCTCCTTATGTATTCATATCCCCCCTTATGTATTATACATGGAGATCATATCCCCCTTATGTATTATACATGGAGATCATATCCCCCTTATGTATTATACATGGAGATCATATCCCCCCTTATGTATTATACATGGAGATCATATCCCCCCCCTTATGTATTATACATGGAGATCATATCCACCCCTTATGTATTATACATGGTGATCATATCCCCCCTTATGTATTATACATGGAGATCATATCCCTCCTTATGTATTATGCATGCTGATCATATCCCCCTTATGTATTATACATGGAGATCATATCCCCCCTTATGTATTATACATGGAGATCATATCCCCCTTATGTATTATACATGGATCATACATTATGGAGATCATATCCCCCCTTATGTACATGGAGTATACATGGAGATCATATCCCCCCTTATGTATTATACATGGAGATCATATCCCCCTTATGTATTATACATGGAGATCATATCCCCCCTTATGTATTATACATGGTGATACATATTATATATAGCTATTATACATGTGATCATATCCCCCTTATGTATTATACATGGTGATCATATCCCCCCTTATGTATTATACATGGAGATCATATCCCCCTTATGTATTTCATACATGGAGATCATATCCCCCTTATGTATTATACATGGAGATCATATCCCCCCCCTTATGTATTATATATGGAGATCATATCCCCCCCTTATGTATTATACATGGAGATCACATCCCCCTTATGTATTATACATGGAGATCACACCCCCCCCTTATGTACTATACATAGAGATCATATCCCCCTTATGTATTATACATGGTGATCATATCTCCCCTTATGTATTATACATGGTGATCATATCCCCCCTTATGTATTATACATGGAGATCATATCCCCCTTATGTATTATACATGGAGATCATATCCCCCTTATGTATTATACATGGAGATCATATCCCCCTTATGTATTATACATATAGATCTTATCCCCCCTTATGTATTATACATGGAGATCATATCCCCCTTATGTATTATACATGGAGATCATATCCCCCCTTATGTATTATACATGGAGATCATATCCCCCCTTATGTATTATACATGGAGATCATAATAACCCCCCTTATGTATTATACATGGAGATCATATCCCCCTTATGTATTATACATGGAGATCATATCCCCCCTTATGTATTATACATGGAGACCATATCCCCCCCCTTATGTATTATACATGGTGATCATATCCCCCCTTATGTATTATACATGGTGATCATATCCCCCCTTATGTATTATACATGGTGATCATATCCCTCCTTAATCTCCTCTTCCCGCAGCTTGGCATTGCTGCCATTATTACGCTTGTGATCTACCAGAACTCCCAGATCCTTCTCCACCATTGAAATGTATTTCTTTTCACATGAGATTTTTCATTGACGATAAAAAACATTGTAACTTTTATCTCATATTTTTTTGCTTATTATTTATGGCACTCTCAAAGTCCTATTTACTTTTTTTTTATGTGTTGAGTTCATTCTCCTCCTCTTTTTCTTCCTTAGTATCTTTTCCTCTCTTCTCTTGACATTTGGATACATTTTGGGATGTGGTGCTGTTGAGCTCCCTTCTGAATTCAATTATTCTTGTTCTCCTGTACTTTAAATAACTTGATAAGTGAATTCTCATTATTTGTGGCTCAACCTGCCAGTGTTGTGTATCTTCTATATAAAAGGAGACCATTTTAAATTAAAATAATCATTTTATTTTTATTAAACACGAAATATTACAAAGATACAAAGGGAAGCAGCACAGCTGCCATAAATAGAGAGCAATAAAGTCCTTTAAGCAGCACATGTCAGTAAGGATTGACCTGCAACATCTTGCTGAACAGGTACCGAACTATTTAAATATCCTTTTTTAAGGTTTGTTAGTTTTTTTTTTTGTTTTATAAACTTCTCATTTTGAGAAAAGCGTTTGCAGTGTCATCTCCCAAACGGTGAAGTGGTTTGATGAAATTGTAGCAGAGGGAAGTATTCTCTATGGTTTCCACCAGATGTTTTCTCTCTGTCGTCTTTGAGTCCTTGTCTTCTGTCATGTACATGTATGAGCTGACCGCTTCTCTAAGTCCTAAGCTGACCGGACAATCTTCACTCAGGGTGCTGTCCTCAGCAAACAGTGTGGAGCTGAAGAGTGAAAAAAATGACATCATTTATTACTTTTATCTATTATTTGTATCATTTTTAGCTTCATGCACACAGGATGGGTTAAAAACACTTCTCCTCTTGGCGGCAGCGTTTTTGCTCAAAAAAAAGTTTGACGCTTGTAAACAGGGGCGGACTGACAGCTTATGGGGCCCCCGGGAAATAGGAGATCATGGAGCTCCTGTGTCCTTGCCCACACTAAATCCACACCCACAAAAAGCCTATGAAAGGTACCAGGGGCATCTCATGGGGCCCCCTACTGACCCGGGCCCTCAGGCAGTGCCCGAGTACCCGAATGATCAGTCCGCCCCTGCTTGTAAAAGAGTCTAATGCTTTTAAAAGCATTTAGGCCCATTTTGCAGCCATCAAGTGCTTGGCCGTTAATTTATTTCCATGGCCAGAAAAAAATTATTATTATGGTCAATTAACCTCCCTGGCGGTATGATTATGTCAGGAATTTTGTACCAAAAGCGGTACCATTTTTTTGCATGGAAATTTGGTGTTATGTATTGTAGGCCTGCAATTCTTAGTAATGACTTACTTAACCTCCCTGGCGGTATGATTATTTCAGATTTTTGGTGCTGAAAGCGGTACCATTTTTTTGCATGGAAATATGTATTTTTTTTATTGTAGGCCTGTAATTTAGGAATAACTCACTGAAATCTGTCCGAACAAGAGTCTAGTAAACATTCCGGGGATGATAAAACTTGAAACACGAAATCATAAATTATAATTTAATAAATACTCATAAAAAATAATAATATAATAATAATAAATTTAATTCAATAATATAATCAAACCAAAAACACTGAAATGTGAAATATAGCGCCAAGTTTGCACATCGCTGAGCAAAGTCGCAGAATCGTTTTCAGTGTCTGATGAGGAATTTCCCCCACGAATCATTATCACTCAATTCTGCAAGTGGTTCTGATTTACTATCGCTGTTCTCTAGCCGGTCTAAAACCGATTTTGACCTAAAGGGACACTTTTTGGACACCATGGACGTTTCTCAGTTTCCAGGCAGAAAGAACAGTAAAAATGCAGGCAGGGCGCCGGACAAAGCACTCGGGACAAAATGTATGTGAAATGGTTTGATACAAGAATGTTTTGCTATGAAATAATCCTTTTAAAAAAAATTTCATTTTTTTAAAATTTTAAAATTTGCCGCCGGTTCCGGCGCCCGTACGTCCCGACGTCACAGGGACCAGAACACGGAAGCCAGATGCTGGCATCGGCCAGAGGAGATGGCCGGGGATGCTGCAGGGGACACATCGCGGGAGCGAAGGACAAGGTAAGCGCTGTAGGGACTCCCTGAGCAACGCCGCATGGTAAGCCCGAGTGTAGCTCGGGGTTACTGCTTTTGGTACTGAAACTTTACCCCGAGCTACACTCGGGAATACCGCCAGGGAGGTTAAATGAATTAACGCTCTAGGGATAAGAGCGACTAGTGTTAATGCACGTTTAGGTGCATTTAGACGCGTCAAGCATTTTTTCTGCCAAAACGCTGCTGCTCCTGGACTCACTGGCAGTGGGGTTTTTTTACAGCTCCTAAAAGCCCCTGGCACTAAAAGCTTCTAAAAGTCTATGTGTGCATGGACACATAGGATAACATGGAGGGGCGTTTGGAAGCAGTGAAAAAAAAAAAAACACCTGACACCCCTAAAAGTGGCTGCAAAAACGTCCTGTGTGCATTAGGTCTTTATATTGGAATTGTCAGGTAGATTATTTCATGTTAAATAAAGAGTAAGTGTAAAGCTAGCTATATTTGGTTAACCGCTCCCTGACCACCCTATTGCAGAAATACTGCTACAGGGTGTCACAGGTGCGCAATATCACGTATAAATATATATATATATATATATATGTGTGTGTGTGATTTTGCACTTGCCTGGCGCCCGGTGATTACCGAGGATCTCCGACGGGGAGGAGAACTGTTTTGTTCACTAACAGTTCTCCTTCTTGTCAGCTCGGGCACACTGCACAGTAGAGCCATCCAAAGAAGTGTGCTTACAGTGAAGCACTCAGACACCGCCCCCTAGTAAAACACTCCCTGCACACAGTTAACCCTTTGATCACCCGTCATGTTAACCCCTTCCTTCCCGGTGCCATTAGTACAGTGCCAGTGCTTTTTTTTTTTTAGCACTGACAGGGGCGGACTGACAACTCATGGGGCCCCCCGTGCAATAGGGGATCATGGGGCCCCTGTGTCCTCACCCACTCTCAAATCACACCCAAAAAAAACCTATGAAAGGTACCAGGGGCATCTCATGGGGCCCCCTACTGACCCTGGGCCCTCGGGCAGTGTCCGGGTTCCCAAATGGTCAGTTCGCCCCTGAGCACTGATCACTGTATTGGGGTCATTGGGGATGTCAGTGACACCAAGTCAGTTCCCCCCAGTGTCAGAATGCCTGCCACAATCCCGCTATAAGTCACTGGAGGGCCCCAAGGAATTTCCAAGGGATTTCCTCTCACTTCCTGTTTGGCTATGGGACAGGATGTGAAGGGACCCCCCTCCCCCATGGGACACAGATGGTTTATAAACCTCCCTTGCTCTATCCAAAATGAGAAAAATAGTATAGTTCTACTTTAAAGCTCCACCTAAAATAACAGCACTGACCCATCTAGCTCTCTCCAGTTGAGTGTTGGCTTCCTAACGATAATTGGCTGAGATAAAGGAATGACTGGAGGGATGAAGCCTTGTATGATGCAAGGGTCCTTCAAGACGCAGCAAATACCATCGGAGATTTCTAAAAAAAGAGATAAAACAAAAGCAAAACAAATTCAGCATAATGTTTCTAGTTAAAGGAAAATTCCACTTTTTGTTAAAAAAAAAATGTGATATTTGTAAATGATATATAATAAAAAAAAGAAAAAGAAAAGGTTCTATTTGACTGTAGCTGCTAAAATCACCACCCCCCCCCTTTAAAATATATATATATATATATATATATATATATATATATTTATTTATGGTGCTAACTTGCAGGGATAACAACCTGATATATGCAATTTGTGAAGAAATCATTCACAGAAACTCCATTTACTGGTCAAGAAACAAGCCTTCCCTCCAACAGGAAATTTGGTCTTTGAAGATTTTCTGGTACTGCTTTAGTGGTCATTATAAGGACAGAGATTCATACTTAGGAGTTACTAATGTACACTAAGGTCTATAAACCTTCAGAACAAAAACGTAAAAATCTGGAATCATTTTCGCTAAAGCCCCTGTATTCTATAGTTCACGTAAAAGGAACTGTTTTTTCTCAACAAAACTAGAATAAAACAGTGAAGGCCCACTCCCAAAACTGATGATTCCATGACGGCTGGTAGACGAACTTAGGCTGCTTATAAGTCTTGAGTATTTGGAATACCCATTGGCTGTGGTCATTGATAATTCTATGGTTGCTAGTAGACCAAATATGACTTCTTATAAGTCTTGAGTATTTGGAATACCCATTGGCTGTGGTCATTGATAATTCCTTGGTTGCTGGTAGACCAAATATGGCTTCTTATAAGTCTTGATTATTTGGAATACCCGTTGGCTGTGGTCGTTGATAATTCCTTGGTTTCTGGTAGACCAAATATGGCTTCTTTTAAGTCTTGGGTATTTGGAATACCCATTGGCTGTGGTCATTGATAATCCCATGGTTGCTGGTAGACCAAATATGGCTTCTTATAAGTCTTGAGTATTTGGAAGACATATTGGCTGTGGTCGTTGATAATTCCTTGGTTGCTAGTAGACCAAATATTGCTTCTTTTAAGTCTTGGGTATTTGGAATACCCATTGGCTGTGGTCGTTGATAATTCCTTGGTTGCTGGTAGACCAAATATGGCTTCTTATAAGTCTTGTGTATTTGGAATACCCATTGGCTGTGGTTGTTGACAATTCCTTGGTTGCTGGTAGACCAAATATGGCTTCTTATAAGTCTTGGGTATTTGGAATACCCATTGGCTGTGGTCGGCGGGCTGAGCTTAGAAGTCTGGTTGGGATAATTCATAACTGTAATACCATATTCCAATAATGAGATATCCCAACCAGATTTATCAGCTTTATCAATCAACGACCACAGCCAATGCAAGGCTACATGCTGGTGTACAATAATAATAATATTTATAGATTATTGAAAAGGTTTATGTTGTTTGTTGTTATGCTGGTGTACAAGCCTTCCTTGGAGATCTCCATAATGTAGAATATGGAAATAATTAAGGAGACCTAGCTAGATAATTGTCACACCTTCATAAAGACCTTTTTGAGGTCAAAGACACAAACTATTGCTGGGACTTTGTCACCAAAGTGTCAGAAACCAGTCGGTGATTCAACACACTGCTTCCTGACCAAAAGTAGGGTATCAATGTTGGGTTTAGTTGGCCTTTTACTACTTCAATGCACACTTAATTATTAAGAGGTCTGTTTATAGAATTTTTCACACAAGATTTACACAACTTCCACCCAAGATTCACATATTTTGAATCTGAATCCAATTGGAAAATCATGACTCTTGGGTGAAAGTTGCATTAATCATGTGTGAAAACATTCATAAATAGACCCTTAAGTGATCAACAATGCCTTATTTGCAATCTCAAACAAAATGTGAAGCTTGGTCTTACCAGAATAGTAGTCCACCATGTCCTGGAGGGTAGGGAAAGTTAGACGAGGAGATATGTACAGCCACCCATTCTCTAGTTGATTGATACGATAATGTTTGATGGAATCTCGAGTAACTTGATAGGATCTTCTAACTGAAAGGCTGTAACATCCTATGAGACAACCAAAAGTTTATATGTACACAATCACGGAGAAGGTAGGTTCAACACTGGAAGTATTTAGGGACAGTATTTCAAAACATGCAATGAACAGTGCTAAGCAGGAGATTGATCAACCAAAAGAGAACATATAACCTACACATCAAGCACCATAGACGGAATATCTGGTTGTCACATCTTTTGAAAAGCTGAAGGGCTTACTAACAAAACTTGGGGGTTTATTTACTAAAACTGGAGAGTGCAAAATTTGGTGCTTGGAAGCCAATCAGCCTCCAGCTTGTTCAATTTAGCTTGGAAGATAAAACCTGGAAGCTGATTGGTTTCTATGCAGGGCTGCACCAGATTTCGCACTGTCCAGTTTTAGTAAACGAACCCCTTAAAGTCTATGTAAATCTTCTCGTATCTGCTTCATTTTGGTCCGATTAATTTACCATTCAAGGCATTTCATTTTTTCTGATGAATGCAGGGAAATGTCTGTTAACCTCTTTACACCGGCCGAAATGTGCAGCCTCCCGGCATCTGGGATGCCCGGCATCCGAATTTTGCAGCCTCCCGGCATCTGGGCCTACACGTCGAGCGGCCCGGACATTTGAGTTCTATTAAAAAAAGACATATGTGCTGAGAGCGCGCACCCTGCTCGCTCCCAGCACACATGTCCGGTACTGAGGGAAAGGTCCCAATCTCCTCTTTCGATTGGGACCTTTCCCGATCATGTGACCGCCGTGATGGCGTGTCACGGCGGTCACATGACCCTAAACCCCACCCCGCCTCCTGTCTTCTGAAACCCTTAAAGGGCCGGGAGGAGCCGGTGCAAAGGGGTTAAAGTGTTTATTAGTTTGAGTTCTCATGCACACCGGACATGTTTACAGCGGCTTTTTTGGCTTTTGGCGGTTTTTTTCTACAACCAGTAAACTCCCCAGCATGGTATCCTATGTGTCCATACACACACAGGCTTTAATCAGCGTTTTTTGGCTGGAAAAAAAACCCAGGACTAGTGGGTATCTAGAGGAGTTTTTTTTAGCTGTAAAAACGCTCTAAAGCTGAAAACATGGCAAACCAGTGTTTTTGGACTTTTGTTTTGCAAAAAAAAAATGTTTTTTTCCACAGAAAAATTATAAAGAAAGCGGAAAAACGCGGCTAAACGCTAATGTAAAAATGCTAAAAAGCGCCAAAAAACTAATGTTAACATGACTTTACACTGCTAATGTTACCAGCGTTATTAAAATGCCCCGGGTGCATGAAGCCTAAATATTAGAGTTACTAAACCCCGGACCCGGCATTCACTTTATCCGCTCTCCCCGGACCCTGCATTCACTATATCTGGTCTCCCCGGACCCTGCATTCACTATATCTGGTCTCCCCGGACCCTGCATTCACTATATCTGGTCTCCCCGGACCCTGCATTCACTATATCTGGTTTCCCCGGACCCTGCATTCACTATATCCGCTCTCCCAGGACCCTGCATTCACTATATCCGGTCTCCCCAGACCCTGCATTCACTTTATCCGCTCTCCCCAGACCCTGCATTCACTATATCTGGTCTCCCCGGACCCTGCATTCACTATATCCGCTCTCCCCGGACCCTGCATTCACTATATCCGGTCTCCCCAGACCCTGCATTCACTATATCTGGTCTCCCCGGACCCTGCATTCACTATATCTGATCTCCCCGGACCCTGCATTGACTATATCCGGTCTCCCCGGACCCTGCATTCACTATATCCGGTCTCCCCGGACCCTGCATTCACTATATCCGGTCTCCACGGACCCTGCATTCACTATATCCACTCTCCCCGGACCCTGCATTCACTATATCTGGTCTCCCCGAACCCTGCATTCACTATATCCGGTCTCCCCGGACCCTGCATTCACTATATCTGGTCTCCCCGGACCTTGCATTCACTATATCTGGTCTCCCCGGACCCTGCACTCACTATATCTGGTCTCCCCGGACCCTGCATTCACTATATCTGGTCTCCCCGGACCCTGCATTCACTATATCTGGTCTCCCCGACCCTGCACTCACTATATCTGGTCTCCCCGGACCCTGCATTCACTATATCTGGTCTCCCCGGACCCTGCATTCACTATATCTGGTCTGGTCCCCCGGACCCTGCACTCACTATATCTGCTCTCCCCGGACCCCTCATTCACTATATCTGGTCTCCCACAGTACACACAACATGGAAATGCAATTATTTTAGCAAATATAAACTGCTAAATACCTTTTCTCATCAGCAGTATATAGCAGTCTTGTGACTTCTATCAGTGTCCAGCTGAGCACTGGTTAAAGCTTGTAAGAGGAGTTTTCATTTGGCTCTAGGAGGATGCAGAACCCCTGACCCTCTGTCTGGGCAGTGCTTATTGGCCCTGTGCTGATCACATCCATTCTTCCAACAACAAAAAAAAGCCTCTCTAGCAATACACACCAAACTGAGCATGTGCAGAGTGTCTCCACACGATATGTCGTATCAGGAGATAAGAGGGGAGAACAGGAAGAAGGAGAGGATCAGAGAAGACAGGATAAAACAGCCTTTTTACACAATGCAGAGGATTAAGCATGCTTTACTGCATATACAGACTGATTGCACTGTTGTGGGTTTAGTAACACTTTATAATTTAAAAATGTGTCTCTATAAATGATACAATGATGCATTGTGAAGGATTACGTTATTTATTTTTTTAATTTCAACTAAATGCAACTAAACCCCTTTGTGTGTAACATGAAGTGTCAGACGGTCTGTCCGGTTTTGTTGCAGACCGGCTGTAAGTGAGCTGGGAATCGGTTTGTTTTTTATTAAATATGAACAAAGCATATCCTTATGTGTATTATGTCTCAGTCCAGAGCACTGAGAGTCATTTCTGACCGATGCCTCGTTCCCCTGTAATCTGCATGAGTCACTTCTGACAAGTTTTTCTGTCACCAAGAGATACAAAGTTGTAGTACATAGTTATATAGTAGTAGTATTAAGTAGTAGCAGTAGTAAGAAGCAGTAGTAGTAGTACGTAGTAGTAAGTCGTAGTAGTAGTAGTAAGTAGTAGTTAGTAGTAAGTAGTAGTAATAATAGTAATAGTAAGAAGTAGTAGTAGTAATAGTCGTAGTAAGTAATAGTAGTAGTAAGTATTAGTACTAATAGTAATAATAATAAGTAGGAGTAGTAATAGTCATAGTAAGTAGTAGTAGTAATAGTCGTAGTAGTAGTAGTAGTAGTAATAGTAAGAAGTAGTAGTAATAGTAAGAAGTAGAAGTAGTAGTAATAGTAAGAAGTAGTAGTAAGAAGAAGTAGTAGTAGTAGTAATAGTCGTAGTAAGTAGTAGTAGTAATAGTAAGAAGTAGTAGTAGTAGTAGTAATAGTAAGTAGAAGTAGTAGTAAGAAGAAGTAGTAGTAGTAGTAATAGTTGTAGTAAGTAGTAGTAGTAGTAAATAGTAGTAGTAATAGTAAGTAGTAGTAGTAATAGTCGTAGTAAGTAGTAGTAGTAGTAATAGTAAGAAGTAGTAGTAATAGTAAGTAATAGTAATAATAGTCGTAGTAAGTAGTAGTAGTAATAGTAAGAAGTAGTAGTAATAGTAAGTAATAGTCGTAGTAAGTAGTAGTAGTAATAGTAAGAAGTAGAAGTAGTAGTAAGTAGCAGCAGTAAGAAGTAGTAGTAGTAACAGTTGTAGTAGTAGTAGTAGTAGTAAGTAGTAGTAGTAGTTGTAGTAGTAGTAGTAACAAGTAGTAGTAAGTAGTAGTTTGTAAGTAGTAGTAGTAGTAGTAGTTGTAGTAAGTAGTAGTAGTAGTAGTAAGTAGTAGTAAGTAGTAGTAAATAGTAGTAGTAGTAAGTAGTAGTAATTATTAGTAGTAAGTAGTAGTAATAGTCGTAAAAAGTAGTAGTAGTTATAGTAGTAAGTAGTAGTAAATAGTAGTAGTAGTAAGCAAGTAGTATTAGTAGTAAGTAGTAGTAGTAGTAAGTAGTATAAGTAGTAGTAAATAGTAGTAGTAGTAAGCAGTAGTAGTATTAGTAGTAAGTAGTAGTAGTATTAGTAGTAAGTAGTTTAGTAGTAAATAGTAGTAGTAAATAGTAGATAGTAGTTTGTAGTAGTTAGTAAGTAGTAGTAGTAGTTAGTAGTAGTATTAGTAGTAAGTAGTATTAGTAGTAAGTAGTTTATTAGTAGTAAGTAGTAGTAGTAGTAAGTAGTATTAGTAGTAAGTAGTAGTAGTATAGTAGTAGTAAATAGTAGTAGTAAATAGTAGTAGTATAGTAAGTAGTAGTAAATAGTAGTAGTAGTAGGATTTGTAGCAGTAGTAGTATTAGTTAGTATAAGTAGTAGTAGTAAGTAGTAGTAAATAGGTAGTAGTAGTAAGCAGTAGTAGTATTAGTAGTAAGTAGTAGTAGTAAGTAGTTGTAGTAGTAGTAGTAAGTAGTAAGCAGTAGTAGTAGTAAGTAGATTCGTAATAGTCATAAGTAAGAAGTAGTAGTAATAAGTAGTTAGTAAGAAGTATAGTAGTAGTTTTAATAGTAGTGTAAGTAGTAGGTTGTAAGAAGTAGTAGTAAATAGTAGTAGTAGTGATGATGTGGAGCAGTATGTATGATCTCCAGTAACATACAACACGGCACATTAGAACCCTCGGCATGCAGAGACTACACTGCACACACCTGTACATGTACTCCGGGATATTTGGTTTCCTGTGACTAATGTCTTCAATGTACGGTTCCCACAACTCGCACCACATATTGTCTGACAGGTGTGAGGACTTCCTGAGGACAGACGACAAGTGAGAGAGAAGTTCTGTATGAAGCGTCACGTTGGCCGGTTGCCGTTTCTGAGTCACATCTCACACATAACGGTAACAATGAACGAAGTTTTTTCAATGTACAACACACCACGAGATGCACCGACACTCAGCATACTGTACAGCCAGCTGCACACCCCTGTATTGTTGGCTTCCTTCACACATGCTAAGTTCCCTGGCTGACTTTTGGGTCCAATAATTCTGAGACACTGACCCAAATATGAGCTAAATCCCAGATCTCAATGCTGCAGATCATCATGGCAGCCAGGTAACGGGTACGCTTTCAGAATTTATTTATTTTTTTTTTTTTTTTCAAATTGCAGAAGAGGAAGCAGTCATATCAGTGTAATGCAATGGTTCAAACACGGGTTAAACCTGCATAGGTCATTTTTTCTGTGAACCGAGTACATGAGCCTTGGGGGCACTTAAAGTAGGTTACTAAGGGGAGATCCCACACCGATGTCAGAGACGAGGCCAGGGGTTCTGCATCAGAGCAAAATCCCAAAACTCCCACAAGATGTAACCAATGCAGTCTCTGTAGATGCAGAGAAGCATTTAGCTTGTTTATACTCACTGTGGGAACCTATAGGGTGAATCCTCCTGAGGCATATAGTGTGCAGAATGGCTGTTAGTAATCCTGTCTTTCAGATCCTCCCTTCTTCTACTGCCCCAATTCATTTCTGCTGATAGTACAGAGCCTGGGGGCAAGCTGCACATGCTCAGATTTTGGTGTGTATTGCTAGAGGAGAGTTTTTTTTCTTGGAAGAGTGCATGTAATCAGCACAGGGCCAATCAGCACTGTCCAGATAGAGGCCAGGGGTTCTGCATTCTGCTAGAGCAAAATAAAAACTCCTACAAGATTTAACCAATGCTTTGCTGGACACTGGTAGAAGTCACGAGACTGCTATATACTGCTGATGAGAAAAAAGGGATTTAGCAGTTTATATTTATACTACAATAATTGCATTTCCATGTTCTGTGTACTGTGGGAGACCAGATATAGTGACTGCAGGGTCCTGAGGGAGACCGGATATAAGTGAATGCAGGGTCCGGGGGAGACCAGATATAGTGAATGCAGGGTCCGGGGAGACCCGATATAGTGAATGCAGGGTCCGGGGAAGACCCGATATAGTGAATGCAGGGTCCGGGGAGACCCGATATAGTGAATGCAGGGTCCGGGGGAGACCAGATATAGGGAATGCAGGGTCCGGGGGAACGGGATATAGTGAATGCAGGGTCCGGGGAGACCAGATATAGTGAATGCAGGGTCCGGGGAGAGCAGATATAGTGAAGTTAATGCAGGGTCCGGGGAGAGACCGGATATAGTATAGTGAATGCAGGGTCCGGGGAGACCAGATATAATGAATGCAGGGTCCGGGGAGAGCGGATATAGTGAAAGCAATAAATATTGCTTAAAAAAACGATGGGGCACAATTCTTCCCAATGACACCAACGATGAGGCGCAAATCTTCCCAATGACACCAACGATGAGGCGCAATTCCTCCCAATGACACCAATGATGAGGCGCAATTCCTCTCACTGACACCAACGATGAGGCGCAATTCCTCCCACTGACACCAACGATGAGGCGCAATTCCTGACTCACTGAGGCACCAACGATGAGGCGCAATTCCTCTCACTGACACCAACGATGAGGCGCAATTCCTCTCACTGACGCACCTCTCACTGACGATGAGGCGCAATTCCTCCCAATGACACCAACGATGAGGCGCAATTCCTCCCAATGACACCAACGATGGGGCACAATTCCTCTCACTGATACCAATGATGAGGCACAATTCCTCCAAGTGACATCAAAGATGGTGTCAATGGTTTTTCCCCTCTAACATCAGGGCCTTTTTTTTATTCCCATTAACAAAAGGGGCTACAGTCCGGCCCCCTGAAAGTCTGAAGAACAGTAAGTGTCCCTTTGTTTGGAAAGTTTAGAGACCCCTGCAATAAAACACTGATATATTTTTGAAGGCAACAAAATAAACTGACCCGTAAAAATATTTGCTTTATGATATTTGAAGTTTCCTCTGTCATAACGCAGCATTAATAAACGTGCTCAAGGTGAGGGACTTCCGCACCCATTGCTGTACCCAATTTCACAAACAACAACAGCAATAAACGATAAACAGCAATTCATTCTTACCTTGTGAAAATTATATTAGCTATGATTTTTATTTTATATATATAATTCTTGACAAGCTGACATTTTCTTAGGAGGAAGAACAAAATTGTAAATAAACAAGATTACCTCTTCTAGTTTCGCTCTCACGGATCAAGAAGGAACCAGTTCGGTTGCTGCTCATCAAGAGCAACTCTTCTGCTTTTTCCCGATTTATACCTTTGAAAAGCCACCTTAAATAATAAGGAACTTGTGGTTAGGAATTATTCTGCTGCCAGCATATCACATGGTACTCTGATGAATGCCTGCTCAAAAGGACTAAATACTTTTTTGCCCCACTGTATATGCATACACAAGAGCAGCCATATTTGTTATTGCTTCTCAGGCGCTACACAGTGGTTGTGCTTTATTGTTCCATTTCACATTGCAAGTCTGTGAGTTGGCTGACTCATTGCAAACAATTTATTTCCTATATGCATAGTATATCTAAAATTGTAAAGCTCTCTTTAGTGGCTAATACAAAAATTCAAATATGGAACAGCAAGCTTGCAAAATTTGGAAAAATACATAAAAGTCAGCAGGACAATAATAACTAAACTTTGAGTTTGCTGAAAAAAACACTGTGTTAATACACAAGTCAATTTACGCAGCACTTTACATATATATTGTACATTCACATCAGTCCCTAACCCTCAAGGGGTGTACAATCTAAGGTCCCTAACTCACATTCATACATACACATACTAGGGACAATTTAGACAGGAGCCAATTAACCTACCAGCATGTCTTTGGAGTGTGGGAGGAAACTGGAGTACCCGGAGGAAACCCACGCAGGCACAGAGAGAACATGCAAACTCCAGGCAGGAGGTGCTGTGGTTGGGATTTGAACCCACGACCCTAGTACTGCCAGGTGGAAGTGCTAACCATTTAGCCACCGTGCTGCCACATATGACCCAGGTAAATAGAGTGGAAGTGGCCAGGAGGAGTGAGGTTGGGGGGATTGGCACAGAACATCCCATATGGAAGAAAAATATATTTGAAATATATTTTAAAAATATTCTTCCCACATATATTGACATATATTTGAAATGCAACAATTTTGGCCGTATTCAATATATATATACACTGCATGCTGACATGTGCTTTTTATATATTACAAAATATATGAAAAAGATTTTAAAAATATATTTTTTTAAATATATTCTTCCGATTTTTTTTAACATAAAAAAAAATAATTTTAACATATATTTTTACATATATTTGTAAATGCATTCCAAAAATGTGCAGAATAGTGCTCCATTGTTTGTGTCAGTGGGAGGAATAGTGCCCCATCATTGATATCAGTGGGAGGAACAGTGCCCCATCATTGGTGTCAGTGGGAGGAATAGTGCCCATCATTGGTGTCAGTGGGAGGAATAGTGCCAAATCATTGATGTCAGTGGGAGGAATAGTGCCCAATCATTGATGTCAGTGGCAGGAATAGTGCCCCATCATTGTGTCAGTGGCAGGAATAGTGCCCCATCATTGATGTCAGTGGCAGGAATAGTGCCCCCATGTTGATGTCAGGGAGGGAATAGTTCCCAATATTTGATGTCAGTGGAGGAATAGTTCCCCCTATATTGGTGTCAGTGGGAGGAATAATGCCCCATCATTGGTGTCAGTGGGAGGAATAGTGCCCCATCATTGGTATCAGTGGGAGGAATAGTGCCCCATCATTGGTGTCAGTGGGAGGAATAGTGCCAATCATTGGTGTCAGTGGGAGGAATGGTGCCCAATCATTGATGTCAGTGGAAGGAATGGTGCCCAATCATTGATGTCAGTGGCAGGAATAGTGCCCCATCATTGGTGTCAGTGGCAGGAATAGTGCCCCCATGTTGATGTCAGTGGGAGGAATGGTGTCCAATCATTGATGTCAGTGGGAGGAATAGTTCCCCATCATTGGTGTCAGTGTGAGGAATAGTGCCCCATCATTGGTATCAGTGGGAGGAATAGTGCCCCATCATTGGTGTCAGTGGGAGGAATAGTGCTCCATCATTGGTGTCAGTGGGAGGAATAGTGACCAATCATTGGTGTCAGTGGGAGGAATGGTGCCCCATCATTGATGTCAGTGGCAGGAATAGTGCCCCATCATTGGTGTCAGTGGCAGGAATAGTGCCCCCATGTTGATGTCAGTGGGAGGAATAGTGCCCCGTTAATGATACTACTGGGAGTAATAGTGCCCCCATTATTAGTGTCAGTGGCAGGAATTATTCCACACTGTTGGTGTCAGTGGGAAGAATAGTGCCCCATCACTGATACTAGTTGGAGGAACAGTGCCTCATATCATTGGGAGGAAAAGTGCTCCAAGGGCCAGATAAAGGATAGCAAAGGGCCGTATCCGGCCCCCCGGCCACAGTTTGGAGACCACTGATTTAGATAATTGAGATCTGGGGGTAACGCTACACTATATTTGTTTTAGTTTAGATGGTGAACATGGACAAGGCTCGTGGTGGTGCTGGATTCTGAAAAGTATGAACTGCTTATAAACAGTGCTTCAATGCTTGTTGAATGCATCCTTCTGTTTTTTAAATTAAATAATAATTTTTCCTCAACACGTAAGCATTTTTTTAGCTGCAGACTTACCTGTTATATACTTTAGCAATATAATCCCTAGGCATGTAGCATTCCTTTCCACTTGTAACAGATATTACTTTCCACCAGTCTTCATCTCTGAAAAACATGGCCATTTCAATTTTTTTCATTTACTAAAAATTAAAATAATAAATATATCAGCAGTCTGTTCTTATTTCCTACAATTAGATATTACAAATATTTTTGACAAATTTGGTTCTGGAATTCAGGTAAAATTATCAGCTTTCATGGTAATAGTTCTTGCCTATCTCTTTGTCATACTGACAAAAAAATGTCTGTTTTCTGGACTATTAGGGATTCAAAATATTGTCTTAGATTTGTGGCCAAGATAGTATTTTCGATCTCTAATGGTCCAAAAAACAGGATTTTCTTGTATGGGATTTGTTGGTACTGGGGACTCCAGACTGAAGTTTTTGGGGAAGGTTGGGTGGCCGTTTTTTATATAATAAAATATATATATATATATTTATATTTATCTTTTCTAGAAAATATTACCCAGGCATTTGAAATAAAAATTGCAATGAGAACTAGATGAATAAAGGATGCGCCTTCAACTTTTAAAAGAAATCTGCATCATAACTTAAGCTGGCCATACACTTGCAGTTTGATAGAGCAATCAAACCTTTCTTGAACTCACAAAGTGATTGAAGACATAAAATGGTGGTTTCAATCCATCACAAGGAAAAAAGGATCAAATTTGGTTGAATGAAGATGAAAAAACTGATGTCTTTCAACAAAATTGCAGTAGTTTCTTTCCCACTTCGATTCTATTTCAGTTAAAAATTTTCAATAGTCTGTATTGAAGCTGCCAGTTTATCGCCCAGTATTGACTTCACAATTGACCGAATTCTGGTGGTCCCTCAGACTTATGGAATTATTTACTTTCTGAGGACGATTTGCTTATATATTTGAGTACCTATAGCCAGCGTTAGTGTATTCTACAATATCTCTTTAGGTTTCACTGCTTAAAAAACACCAATACGAGCAATGTGGTCGCCAAGAATAACATTAACAATAATAAAGGAGATGTGTCACAGATGGTGGTAAAGAGGAGGTCAAGGAACCTAAAAGGACAGGGGTGGTCTTCAGTCCACAGTGTATTGGGCATGGCTGTTTAGTCTTTGGCCCAAGAACCCTGGAGCTGAGAGATTGTAGAGTAGACTACAGCTTTTCATGGTCTAGACCAGGGGTAGGCAACCTGCGGCTCTTCAGCTGTTGCAGGACTACAAGTTCCATCATGTCTCTGCAAGTCATAGCTGTTACTGTTGATTTTCCAATATCTCATGGGAAATGTAGTTCCAGAACAGCTAGAGAGCCGCAGGTTGACTACCCCTGGTCTAGGCCAGTGTTTCTCAACCTTTTTTCATTTGAGGCACCCTTTAAATTATGGACAGTCCCAAGGTACCCTTTAAAACTATGGACAGTCTTGAGGCACCCTATTCCAAAATGGGGTGCCTCAAGACTGTCCATAATTTTAAAAGGGCACCCCATTCTAACATGCGAAAAAGTATTCTAAAAATTTTTATATAACGCAGCAACATCCAGACATGTAGGACACCCAACATTAGAGGTGATTTATTCTTCCAAAGCAAATACACTTTTGCACACTGGTACTGACTAGTATTCCAATGTTTCTCCTCTCCCTCAGTTTGTATCCATCATTGAGCTAATGTGACCCCAGCACTGATGGAGAGAGGCAGGGGAGGGTCAAACTAGGATGCTGTGTAGGCAGCTGACATCCTCCCTATCAACTATGTCATTGGTTGTCAGGATGCCAGCGGCTAGAAGGTCATAATGGTGTACAATGAAAACCTGTGGCTTTGTGTAACTAAAATGCAGGCTTGTTCCACCTGCTGGCTTGTATACAAGTTTTGGGCAAATTTTAGACATTTTGCCAAGGCACCCTTGAAGAAATCTCAAGCTACCCCAGGGTGCCTGGGCACCCTGGTTGAGAAAGGCTGGTCTAGACCACAGGTATCCATAGCCCTATGGGGGCAGGAACCAAATGATTGAGTTATAGGACTGAATGAAGAGTTCTAAAAAATGTTATTAAACTAAATGATTATATAATATGGATTGAGGTGATGAGGGTGACAACTAATCAGCTCAGTATGGACATCTTATTTCTTCACGATATAGCCAACTGATATATTGGTAGGGTTGGAGAACATTGTTAGCGTCTGTACTTCAGTTTCTTGTTTGATTGCACAAAAACCACAGTGAAAATCTTGTGATTTTTATATGAATAATGAGATAAAACTTTTTCATCATTGTCATTCTGGTAACTATTAGGACTGGTGATGATGATGACTTTGACAGTTTGCTTAACGGGGGTATATAGGGATATACTGAGCAATCCAATTGGGGATTGTATTTGTAAAAAATGTAAGAACTCCTGAACGTAATGACCCTCAATCTTTTATATAACCAGGCTAGAAATTTTTGTTTTAATTTCAGATGCATTCGTTTATTGATGAATTTCGTTTCATCAATTTCATTATGTTTAACTGATTCACTTGTGGAATTCATTTTGCATCTTCAACATTTGTTTATTATATTCGTTGGTGTGGGTGGATTTGAAAAATTTAGCAGTTTTTTTTTTTGGAAGATTGTTATATATTAGTTTTTGGTTTCAATAGTTTGGGTGGATTTGTTATTCTTATATCGAACTAAACTGAAGGATTCCATATTTTCAGAAGAGAAATGGCATGAGTTGGTTTGACAATATTGACTGGTGTCATGTGCATTCGAAATGAACTAATGGAACAAAATCTGGATACATTCATTATCCGAATCCAAATTATCAAACAAATTTGAAAACTGAATCCATTTCCCCATTGGCCCGAGCTACTAGCGCATTATGTGATGTCATCCGAATGAAATTAATTTAACAAATTAATTTGTTAATTTTGTTATAACTTTTTTTTGGATTCGTAGACGTTCGTTACTTATGTCCATTTGGAGATTTGTATACATCCACATCTCCGAAAATCAAATTGTCATCTGAAAATCAATTCGTAATGAAACAAAATGCACATCTATATATAACCTGTAAAGATCAGCTCATCTGCTAAATCAAGGACCTAGTATGCGTATTGCCAATTTAAAAGCTGACTTTCTATACAATATAATTTTGCAAAATCATTCCCTAGCTGCAGAAGAAATACCAACTGACGTACTTTTGCTAAAAATAATTATAGATTGTTTATTTAAGCTGTGTCTAGGTGATACGACTTGTTTTCTGATTGCAACCTATCCAGGCTGGTCAGGAAAAAACAAGAACATTTGAGGTCACTCACTCTGAGAGAACGTTTAGCTGCTCCCCAAGTCGAACACTTAAATCGCTTTGACCACCAGCTGGAAAGTTGTACAAAGCCACAAATATGCACTTGTCCGTTACTGAAAAACAAGTAAACATCATTTGCACAGCAGTTGATAAAGTAATGACGTACAGAATGTACAGGAACTTGATTTGCCATCAAAGTATGCAGTGTCTCTCTATACTAAGGCGTTGAAGCTTGACTTTTTGACCAGCCAAAACTTTTTCGAGCCTTAAAAGGAGTATTGAAAGGTTTGAATCTTTGTTTTTTTTTTAACAATGGGCACTATTAGTTCTCAGTGTAGAGCTTTCTACTTATTCTTTTCTGCCGTAGGCATCCTCCACACTCTACAAATGGTCATCCAAAGCCACTTCCCTTAATTACCCCACTGGCCACAGTCTTCCAGTGTCACCAATGTACGTGAGGGCAGTGAGAGCCTTCTCACATCTCAGAGTATTGGAGAGCAGATAAGAACGCCAGTTGCCAGGGTTCCGAGGAATAAAGTAAGTATAGTAACTAGTATGTAGGCAGGTGCAATCTGTTTTCTCCACCGTAGGTGGTACTCAATATATATATTGAAATATATTGAATACGGCCAAAATTGTAGTATTTCAAATATATGTCAATACATTTGGGAAGAATATTTTTAAAATATATTTCAAATATATTTTTCTTCCATGTGGGATTTCCTGGACCTAACACTTTAATGTGTGGAGTGGCAGGGACCTCATCATACTGTGTAAGCTCTGACACTGCCTGACACCGGAGCTTATCCAGATGATCTACTGTAGTAGGGAAGGAATTCAGATGGGGTAATACACTTTGCTAGGAAAGCAGGGGGGTATCAGCAGACACTGTCATCTTCCCTTGAATTAGCAAAGTGGCAGTGATTTTTTTTTTTAAGATGAACCCTACAGTCATATTTACATTGGTGTGCTCACTGAAACTGCATTCTACTTTTCATTAAACAATGCATAGTTGCATCATATATTCCATCACTTTGAAAGATATTCCTCATGTAGGCGACAATGTTTTGTTACACAGATCTTGATAAAAAAAGCTACTGGCAAGTATTACCTTCTTCTACCCAGTTTGCATATTGAGCCAACGTCTTTCATTATGACTGACTGAAAATATGAGTCAATCATCAAAAAGATGAGCAATGAAAAAGCCAAGGATATTGTACTTTTTCCTCGGCTCTGTGAATGGGAGATGGAAAATACTAGGCCTATTTTATCAAAGGGACTTTAGTTTTGGGTGGACTCCACCATCATCTCAACATTGATGCCTTGCTCCATCCCAATGATGATATTACGAGAGGTCCTTCATTCCTTTTCCGCAGCTGGACAACACAGCGTGTATACAAAACTGAAATATCAGGATCAGGAGGACCCTTTTGGGAAAACATTGAAGCTGCCATTGCTGACCTCTCCTTCTGATAATCCTAGTTGAATGTTATGCTGACCTTCTGGCTTTAAAATGTTATGGGAATGACCCAGATCATGTATGAAGGTAAGGAATTCCATCATTTGTGATCTGCTGACTCATACTGGAACATCCACTAAGAACATATTGAAGCCAGAGGGTCTATATGACTGCAGGGCAATTAGCATTTTCAGAAAGAGTTCAGCAATGACATATTCTGCTCAGCACATGTCTTCTTTACAATAAAACTACAAAATGAACATTTATCTAGAACTATGACT